TAAAATATTTAAATCTAGCCCTTTACAGAAACACTGTGCTGACCTGTGGTAGAATAGAATCTGGCACATTTTACTGGGTAACAGAAACAAGGGAAACAACAAAGGAGGATGAAAGTGGAAATACGGTAGAGGGCCTGGTGGCCATAATGTGTCAATGGGGAGATGATGGGGTAAGAGGCCTTTCTTGCCTTAACCACCCCCTAATCTGTCTACTTAGGAATTTAACACATTTTTTTTTTTAACAACTTAACACATTTTGTCTGTCCTAGAAGAACTGATTCCTTGGATGGCCTGAGACTAGGTCAAACCTGGCCCTTCTCATGCTGTCATTATCCTCCATTGATTGGCCCTTAAAGTCTTCGTAGGTGCAGTCACAGTCCTCTCCCTCACCCCCAGCTTTAGACAGATGAGAAAAGGGAGAGGCATCTAGGAGGGAGGCCATGCTAGGCTGCTGTCATGCTGTCATGTGGGTTGGGGGAGTGACTTTCATAAACCAGACGAAATCTGATAAGTCAGTCATCTTTGCCCCGACGGCTAATAGCATCCTTGAGATTGAACTCCACCTCCTTGTTTCTTGCATTCTCCAGATGTATTAAAGTACTTAACAAAGAGGGTATCATGTTTTAATCAAGACAATGGCTCAAGACTCAGTCCTGGTCAGCAGGCACTGGTGGGGAAGACAAGTGGTTGCCTCCTCCTTCCTACCTTCAGGGCAGGCCCCTTCTCACTTGCCCTCTCACTGGCTCTCTTTCCCTCCAGCCCCAGCTGTACAAACAATTCCAGTAGGTTCATGAGTAGCTCATCCACAAGGTGCTCCTCTTGGATGTTGGCTGCGATGTTGGCCAGGGCATTAATCACCGCCAGGGAGCAGTGCCTGAGGGGAAAGGAGCAAAATAATAGCCACCACTAGGCCCTTGACTATGTCCAGGGTACGGTACTCGCTGTAAGGGTGAAGCAAGGTAACACTGGGTAAATCTAGCCTGTCTTATGATGCTCGTGTGAACCAAAGAACTCTCAACAGGTGATGAACATGCCATCTTTGTGACAAAGAGCCCCCAAAAGAAAGTGAACTGCTGTAGAAATGATTGCAGTCTTCTCCTGAGGTGCACTGAGGGATTCTAAGGGACTAAGTTCCAGCAATCTGCATATTAGAAACGMAAAAAGGGCTCAGAACACTTTCCTATGAATGTCCACGGCCTACTGCACAGCTAAATATGGAAATACATACTTTTCAGGCACTTCCTGCTTGAGCCCTGCTTTTCCCCCTCAAATCACCAACAGTCTTATTCAACATTTACTACCCATAAAATATTTACTTGATGATCAGCATCTCCCCAGAATGCCCCCTACCCCAGAGCTGATGTTAATATTAGCCCATATCAAATGCGCAGGAAGTGCTCAACTGTCCTGGGATCACCTGCCTCAGGATGGTGGCCAGCGCCACACAAATACTGGATGTCAAGCTGACATTGCCCTCTTAGCTGTATGCCAAAAATCAGTGAGGCCTGCTAGGTTTCTGTGACCCTGGAGGCAGCCAGACTGCCACTTCCATGTTGTGTACCTGAGTGTATCACTTGTCTTTGAGCCTCAGTTTCTTCCTGAGCAAAAGTAGGATTAGGGACTGGGGTTGTGGCTCAGAGGTAGAGCACTTGCCTAGCATGTGTGAGGCATTGGGTTCAATCCTCAGAACCACATAAAAATAGAATAAAGGTATTGTGTCCACCTATAACTAAAAATTAAATATTTTTTAAAAAGTAGGATTAGAGGCGTTAAACACCATGTGAAGCACTGAGCACACTGTCTAATCTCCAGAAATCATACAACAAATAGTAGCAATGATAAAAGGTATTCCTTTCCCAATTAGTTAGGTATATACCTGGTAGGTCAAGAGCAAAACAAAGGTCAGCAAATGCTTCCACTGGTGAGAAAGAGGATAAATCATTTTTATTAGCGAGGATAAATCATTTTTATTAGCAATGAAAATCACTCTATGCCAGAAATGGTGGCACATTCCTATAATCGCAGGTAATTGGGAGGCTACGGCAGGAGGACCACAAGTTTGAGGCCTGCTTGGGCAACTTAGCACAATCCTGTTTCAAAATAAAATAAAAAGAGTTGGAGGTGTAGTTCAGTGGTAAAGCATTCAATCCCCAGGACTGCAGATGCTGAATCTGTACATTTGGAGGGTCAACTGTGTAACAATGCCAAAAGCTCACAATGATGGAGAGCTTTCACACACAATCTCATTTACTGATACAACTAGAGATAGGGTCTCTTTGGCAGGAGAGAAAACTGAGGAACAAAATGGTTGGGCACCTTCTAAGGTCATGAAGCTACACTACTGCCCATTAAACTGACTTGGAGAGAAACTCTGAGGTCTGGATTTAATGGTCTGGAAGAGAGAAGCACAGTGGCTGACAAGAAGACATCAATAGAAATTCTCTTCTTCCCTCTGCCAACCTCCTGTTCTTGTCTGACTTCCTTTCTTCCCTTTCCCTCTCTTCTGTTGATCTGACAAACTCTTGGAGAGACATGTCCCTTCCTCAAGGCATTCTCAGGCAAAGGCAAGGAAAAGACAAGGAAGCATCTTGGTCTTCCAGGGAAAACTGGTTGCGTTTCAAACAAAATAAAATATTCAAGGACTTAAAATGCCTATTCCCTTAGACCCTTCCAAATCCTACTTCTCTGAATCAAACCTAAGGAAAACATTAATGATGCTCTGATATACAGCTACTGGTAATTCAGTGTAGCATTTACTGGTAGAAAAATTGAAAAACTACCTAACATTCAAGCTAAGTGTTGGTTAGGCAAATCTCAGTACCAGTATACAATGGGATGCTAGGCAGTTATTAAAAGGTGACATGCAGAGGAGCATTTATGGCACAGCTGATATATTGCTCAAAAAAAAAAAAGCAGGTTGCCAGGGTGTGCAGTTTGGCCTATTAAGAAGGGAAGAGAAGGAAGGGCTAGGACCATCATGCACTGAGATGTCCAGTGATCAACTCCACGTGGTAGGTGTATGTGGCTTTTCATTTCCTCCTTTGTGCACTTATTTGTAGCATGTAGTGCTTTTTTTAAGGAAAAAAAAAGTTTTATTTAAAGGACAAATCACCAAACTCACATTTTCAAAGGGAGTTAAATACTGTCAGGATCCAAAGCAATAGCAAGGTGCAAAAGCATTACCTGTAGCCATGGTCCTTGTAATCTTTGGTGGCTGAATATACAACTGAGCTGGCCTTTACACTGATCTGCTGGAAGAGATTCCATACTTCCTGATAAATGTATTGCTGGAAGAGAGCAAGAAGCACTGTTACCATGTCATGATTCCTTCATGAGGCCCTTCCCAGAAGATGGGAGAAGGYCTCTCTTGTCATCACCTGGGGGAAAGCTCTTGAATCTTGAGGACCATAAAATACCTTCAAGGGCATTCATTTCTAAAACTTTAAGCAAACCTCAAACTAAAAGCTAAAAGGAAAGTTCTTCAATTCAAATCCTATTTTATGTCATTTACGTTGGTAAGAAATTAATTTAAATCTCTTTTTCTCCAGCACTCATGGAACTACTATATTATACTCACTATGTGGTGTTGAAATACTTGTTAAGTATTTAGTTCAGGTGCAAGGTAAACTTACTCTGTAATTTTACATTTTATACAGTCAAAGGAGATTAACAAAGTTTGCACATGGTTAGTGGGTTTTATGGCTCTGGCCTCACTTAGGGCCTTCCTCACATTTCCAGTGATAACCAAGCAGCCCAGCTGATCAATGATGAGTACGTCAAGGGGTGAGGGGGGCTGGCAGAATTTCTGTTGCAGAATTTGCAGAATTGGCTCCATGACCTTCGGGGTATCCCTTAGGGCCACTGCAATATGTCCCAAGGCTCGGATGGTGTGGTCAGGAATCAAGTGAGCATCCCTACAGAAGGAAAGAACAGAAGCACCCGATGAACAGTTCTCTGGTATGCAATAATGAAATAAAACGCAGAGGCTATGATCCAGACCTTGATTTCACTACAGTCTCAATGAAGCATTCATCTGAAAATGACCACCTGCTAATCTTTAACTATCAGCAGAAAGACAAAGCCCCAGACAGTAGGCTAGAGGACAATAATTTTTCTCTACTAGCACAGTTGTGCAGGATGAACATTCTGAGATAGATTTCACCTTAAACCTGTGACAAACCCAATACATGCCTACACTGTGACCAGAAAAGAGGCACAGACATGTACAATGCTAGATGCCCCCTCCAAAACCATAGAGAACTGCTGCCCCTAGCAATGGGAACATACTTGTCACTCTCCTGAGAGATGTAGAGCCGGTTAGAGAGGCTGGCTAAGAAGGCCTCCACAATCACTGGATCCACTGTCAAGCCAGCCTTCAGGCACCTAAGGATCAAGGAAAACCATGTGATATTAGTCATCAAAATGATAAGATAGAGTTTTTCAGTTCTGTTTTGGTTTTTTTCTTTTCTTTTCTCAGGTTTACAATGTTTAAATAACTACTCCAAATTTCTACCCCAAAAATCTGAATGAAAAAACCATTATGTAGAATGAATTCAAAGAATTACTGCAAATTTTGCCCACTTCATAAAATATCTCAGCTGGAAACAATAACTTCATTATTTTGCCTAGAATCATTTTCTTCAGAATATTGTACTGACCCTATTTGCACTTTTAAATTTCCTAACAAAGTTAGTGACTTAACAAAGTTATAGTGACTTACTCAAAAGATAGATGGTCCCAAGATAGCTGAGGAAATATTACAATGATATCAAGAGTTTGGGGATTTTGTTTTTATTTTCTTGGTGTTGGGAACTGAAACCAGGGTTAATGCTAAGTAAGCATGAACTCTACCACTGAGCATCACCCCAGACTTTATCAAAGTTTTAGTGGTAAATAGAAATGCTTATGCAATTGGGAAAAGTTTGGGGAAATTTTTAAAAATCCCATAAAAATATAAAATCTTCTTTTAAATTTTTATTTATTTATTTTATTTATTTTTATACTGTACTAGTATAGAATGGGCAGCCTCACCACATTTACTTTAGCAAACCGGGTTCCTTTAGCTTCTGCCACATCATGCGGGGGTAGTTATCCAGTTTGAAAGAAGATAAAATCTTAAAGGTGTGTCTTGCTCTCCATACCTATTTGGGTCCTAAGCCAGAGTGTCAGAAAACAACATGGGTGTGACAGAGAGGCTGTATTGATTTGGCTTTTGAGAGTGAGAAGTCAGAATTCAGAGAAGTAACGGTCATTTTCATGCAAATCAGAAAGTATTTGGTTCTTGAGTTGGGAGTTCACACAGCAAGTATCTGTGAGGAATACTCACATTTCTTTTTTTTCAAAGAGAGAGAGAGAGACAGAGAGAGAATTTTTAATATTTATTTTTTAGTTTTCGGCAGACACAACATCTTTATTTGTATGTGGTGCTGAGGATCAAACCCAGCGCTGCGCGCATGCCAGGCGAGCACGCTACCGCTTGAACCACATCCCTAGCCCGAATACTCACATTTTTAAAAACAAAACAAAAACAAAAACCTCTCAATTATATTAAATATCACAACAGAAAAAAATAACAATATGTTGTTTCTTTGAATGACAGGCTAATAGAACATTCTCTATTTATTATACATTTTCTTTAATAAGCTTACTTATTTATTTATTTATTTTTGTGGTGTGTGTGTGTGTGTGTGTGTGTGTGTGTGTGGTGCTGGGGATTGAACCCAGGGCCTGTACATGTGAAGCAAGCATTCTACCAACTGAGCTATATCCCTAGCCCCAGCATTTTTATTATTTTTATGAAGAGAAAGGAAGGTAGTTTACTTTTTTAAAAAATAATAATCCCTCTTTTTAGATCCAGTATAGTTTTTGCTAATTTTTTTTTTAAGTTGTAGATGAACACAATACCTTTGTTTTATTTATTTATTTCCTGTGCTGAGGATCAAACCCAGTGCCTCACATGCTAGGCAAGCGCTCTACTGCTGAGCTACAACTCCAGCCTCAAGTATATTTTTAAAATAATCAGAAATTTTCAACTTCCTTATTTTATAATTAGCCTCTATCTGAAACAGATTTCCCTCTTCCTAGGTCTAACCTCCATCTTCAGGGCTTCCCACCTGCAAATGTTGTCAATGGCGATGTCACGGAGCTGCTCATACATAGAGGGCTGGCTCTTCTTGCCTGACATGACATTCAGGGTCGATTCAGAATGTTCATTGGTGACACTGATTTTTATATCATTGCCAGCAACTAAATTAAAAAATTCAAATCAAATTTCTTAATAAATCATTCAGAAATGTTGATAAGCACTCTCATAAATGCAGTTCTGATGGTTAGTAAAGCACAGTCCCATCCTTGGGGGTGATCTAAGTAATGTGCACAAAGGTAAAGACAAGTGTGCAGCAGGGGCCTAAGAAACCCTTCCTATTATGAGGAATGGGAGAGGACTTTCAACTAGTCAGAGTTTGGGTGTTGTCATCTGAAGGGGGAAAATATAAATGCCCACCTTTATAGGTAGGATGAGGAGTACTTAATCAGTCTCTTGCACAGCAGCTATTTAATTGATGCTAATTATTGTTACATTGCCAGATCTGCTCTGAGTCAGTATCCTCTCATAGGGCAATAGAGATTAGATATGGCTATGCACATGAAGCTCCTTGGCCCAGCATTGGGGCATGCAGGACTCGCAGTGGAGGCTATCTTAGTGATAGAAGATGCTAAAAAGAAAATGGAACTAGAAGGGGCTTTTGGTGGTGATAGGACAAGGAGGCAGGGACAGGAAAGGCCTGAAACTCAGGAATGGTGTGGGACATGTAGGAAAAGATGGAAGGAAAGGCATGGAGGAAGAACAGGCTCAAGTACAGTCACATAACCTATGTAGGGAATCACATAGTCACATGGCCCCCCTTTTTTAAGGACTTCAAAGGCATATAAGGACTAGATGCTAGAAACAAGGCATCAACTATAGTTGTCTATTACCTGTGTGGTACTGACTGTGGTACTTATACAGCTTCACCAGCACTGGGGATGGAATGACCAGGAAGTCTCGCAAGGATGGTGTCACCGAGTGTACCACCACCGGAAACCTTTCACATAGGCGGCCCAATCCCTGCAACACATCAACCTGTCACATAGCCTGAGAGGAACTATCTGAGAAGGCCCCAAGCGGTGAGATGCTCAAACCTTTCAATGCCTAAGTTTGACAAAAAACTTCCAAGGTCAAAGCTCCCAGAGGCCACCTGCCTATGAGGCAAAGACAAGGAAGTGGGATGGTATTGACTCTTTCCCACACAAAGTAAATATGTATTATTAATATGTACTAATTTCTTTTGGAAACAAATTAAGGGAGAAAGGGTATAAAATATGCTTTTTAAACAATGGCAAGTATGGAGTCTGTGGGATTATGTCAAGGATGGAATCTCAGCAGAGCAGAACTAAGCATTGTGGATGAATACACCTCCTCCTTGTGAAGCCCTATAGCACATGCCCACAGCTATTCATCTGCTGGCCTTGGGCATCACCCAGCAGATATGAGGCAGCTTCACAATAAAAAAAGATTCAAGGCCCTTTTCAAGGAAAGCTGTTCCTGGATGCCACTTGCACAAATCCCTGGCATCCTGTAGAGGGCAGCCCACACTCAGTAAAGAACTGTGTCCACAACAGGCTCTAGTAAAAGTTCTAAAAACAACAGCTCATATTACAGTCTGTCTCTGCTGCTGGAGAATCAATCACAGCCTGAACAGGTAAGAAGGATGCTCCATGGATGGGATTCGAGTATCTCAATCATCAAGTGAAACTGACCTGCAGGCAGCAGATAAGCAAGGGTAAATGTGCAATGATGACTTTGCTGGATGTCTTGGACTGCAGCTTCTCAGACAGCTTGATGCAAAGATTTTCTGCACCTTAACTCAAAAATCAGAGGAGGGTACAAATAATCATCAAAGTCCAATATTTACAAAATAATCTCTGTTAATCATAAAACTTAATTAAACTCCAGAGACACATTTGTTACAAGTTTAATAAGAGGGCCACACCAGAATGAGTTTGGAGGCAGGTATCCTGTACTATGGGTAACTTTGTCTTCTCTCTGCTAGTCCTAAACCCTCTCATTCTGCAGTGGTCCTAAGCCCTCTCTCTCATTGTGCAGTGTTCCATTCTGTAAGAACACTTCCCATTCCACTTTACCCCAGACAAAGTCCACGGCCTCTAGCTCTGAGCATCCACCTCTCCACAGAAAAGCCTAAAGAACTGGCAAAAAAAAAAAAAAAAAAAAAAAAAAAACCTGCCAAAACACCACACAGGCCCTGTAGCCTTAGGTTTCCCCTTCCTCCCAGATCTAGTTCATCCTATTAGGAGAGAACTACAGATATCCAGCCCACAGCAGGAGCCCAGCTCTGTGTATACCCAGAAGGTGGCCACTCCTAATATGATTGCCTATGCTAGTAACACAGCCAAAAATTCTAGAAGTCATTTTGAGAAGCTCTTGAGAGGAAGAACCCAGGGCATGCCAAGAGCTCACAGGGCAAGGAAAGCAGTCTGTTTTCCTAGGCAGGCAGGCTCACCCTGTTCATCCTTCACAGCCCACACCATAAGGTCCACGCAAGCAGCATTTGCCTGGCAGCGCAGTTTGAGGGGGCTCAGTTCATTGTGGATCCGGTCTGCATCATGTAGAATCTTCTGGAGCTCCCCTTGGCTTGTATTAAACTGTTCCAATACAAAATCATGGATCTCCTTCACAAAGGAAGTGGGGAGGTCTGTGGGAAAGAGGGAAGTATCATAGCTAAAAACAAAACTACATCAGAAAACAACAAGTGGCTGTCAATCGTTATGGTCTTTTCCTCTCTAACAAAAAGAAGGGTAACATTTAATGCTGGCTATTGCAGTTTCAAGAATACCCACTGGGAAAAGCCTGGATAGGCTGTGCACAATAGTTCTCCACATGCAAACTACCTGGCAGCCATAAGAAATTATAATTTCCAGGGGCTGGGGATGTGGCTCAAGCAGTAACGTGCTTGCCTGGCATGCGCGGGGCACTGGGTTCAATCCTCAGCACCACATAAAATAAAATAAAGATGTTGTGTCCACCGAAAACTGAAAAATAAATATTAAAAAATTCTCTCTCTTGGCCTGGGGATGTGGCTCAAGTGGTAACGTGCTTGCCTGGCATGCGTGCGGCCCGGGTTCGGTCCTCAGCACCACATACAAACAAAGATGTTGTGTTCACCGAAAACTAAAAAATAAACATTAAAAAAAAATTAAAAAAAAATCTCTCTCTCTCTCTCAAAAAAATAAAAAAATTATAATTTCCAGGGAAGTCTAAGACATGCTCTTTTTTTTCTTTTTTTGTTATTGTTATTATTGTTGTGGTCGGTTAATTGTTTTTGGTGGTGCTGGGAATGAACCCAAGACTCATGCTAAGTAATAAGCATTTTACCAATGAGCGATATCCCCAGTCCACCAAGCTTTGCTTTAAGCACTCTATATACTAAAATCTACAACACATAAAAGGGATGTGTGATCACAGAAACTGATTCAACTGACAATAGGCAGTACTTTATGATAGTAAAAAAAGAGGAAAGGATACTAGTTACAAGGAAAAAAACTGGTTGGAGGCTGAAAAAAGTTCCCTGGATCTTTGGAGCACCCAGAGTTTGTTTTCAAATTCTCATCCATGGGCCAGGAAAATTCAGGAGAGTTACCGTTGATAGGCACAAGTCAGACCAGCTGAGGAAGCCAGCAACACATAGCCTGGGTAAAAGGAAGAACTTGGGGGCTCCTGGATTGTGAAGCCAGGCTGAGTCATCCTTGACCCCTCTCCTATATTCTGACACGCTAGACTTCCCATAGCCCTCAGAATCAGATTAGGAATGGTTAAATTAAGGCATATCTACATTAAAGACTATTATTACATGCTCATTAAAACCTGCTTATGAAAAACACTTAATGGTGTRAAGAAAGAATGTAGAAAAATGTTTTTAAAAATGTACAAAAGATGGGCTGGGGTTGTGGCTCAGCGGTAGAGCGCTTGCTTGGCACGTGTGAGACCGTGGGTTTGATTCTCAGCACCATGTAAAAATAAGTAAGTGAAATAAAGGTATTATGTCCAA